GGGATGCTGCAAATGGGATCTCAGATGCTGCAGCCAGTGGTTTGGGATGCTGCAGATGGGATCCCAGATGCTGCAGCCAGTGGTTTGGGATGCTGCAAATGGGATCCCAGATGCTGCAGCCAGTGGTTTGGGATGCTGCAGGCGGGATCCAGGACGCTGCAGGAAGGCTGTGGATGCTGCCCAGCTCCGGGCCCGCAGCACTAGGTGCCGCTGCTCGGCCGCCACTGCCAGCCCAGCCCAGCCCAGGCTGAGCCTTTCCCTGCTGGCAGTCCTGCAATCCCACAGCCACTGCCACAACTCATCCCCCGGGACAATCACCCCTTTTCCTCTCTGCTCCGGAGCCTTCCCAGCGCGGCACGGGCCGGCATTCCCACCTCTCTGTGTTCCCTGGGAGCAGCAGCGCCAGCCCTTGACTTTAAGGCTGCTCAGCCTATGGAAACAGCTGCTTTATGGCACCGGGATGTGTTAGAACCCCCCTCCCGGGACTCCAATCATTCTCTTTCCTACCTTTGGGGCATTCCCGGAACAATACCGAGCTGACGCCTTTCATTCAACCACCGAAAAGCACTTTGCAAACTTTAATTAAAGCTCTCAGCCCTCTGGGAGCAGGGAAGTTGCCTTATCCCTAAATTATAGAAGGGGAAACTAAGGCATAAAGCAATTAAGATGCTTGAGTGAGGCTGTGTGGAAGGCAGGGGAGGGTGTGCAGTGGTTCTCCCCAGCTCAGTTCACCTTGAGTACGGCCATCTCCTGCGGGATGAGGCTCCCCTGTGATTCCCAGCTGGATGTTTCCAGGCTGGATGGACTCCCTGACCCTTCCAATATCGTGTCCCTCACTCCAACAGGCCAGAAGCCACAATGAGAGGAGTGTGAGAACCTCACAGTGGGCAACTGGGGGATAAGCTGCCCCCTACAATGCCTCGTCCTGACTCCAGGAGTAATTGGTTTAAACCCCCCGAGCCTGGTGTTTTATCCCTTCCCAAACCCTCAACACATTGGAATGCTGGGGGGTTGTGCATCCAACTGCTGGGACACTCCCGGGGTCCCTTCCCAGCCATTCCCCAGGGCTGGCTCAGCCCTCCAGGGTCACCACCAGCCCCCTGCTCCTGGTGTGGGAGAGGGACGGTCCCTGGATGGCTCCTGCACCTAAAACACAGCTCCCATCCATGGTTTTCCCTGCACACTCCCACTCAACACCCAGGACATCCCGCTCTGCTTCAGGAATGCCAACAGCACCCGGAGAACCAGCCCTGGCTGAAAGGTGACATTGCCACCACCACGCTGGGGACAATCCAAATCCAGTGGCTTCCTGTGGAGCTTCCCCTGGACAATGACCCAAAGGCTGAGAGCCCTGGGATGGGCCTGGATAGTGACGGGGAGGGACCAGCCCTGGAGCTGCCACCCAAAGTGCCGCCACCCCAAAGGGCAGCGGAGCCTGTTCCTGCCATCCCAGCTGGGATTTTCCCCCTGAAAATAGCCCCAAAACTTTGAGGAGCTGGTTTCTGGGGACAGCCCCCAGGGAGGGACAGCTGCCAGCCCTGGGCTCTGCTCTCCGGCCGTATCTGGGCCGCGCATCTTTCTCCTCCCGTGATTCCCAGGCATTCACTCCGTTAATTATTAATTATGGAGCGGCTGCGATGCCCATCCGGCCCCAAACCCCAAAGCCAGGGCTGTTTTCCACCATCCCTGCATGAACAGTGGGATAGACACTGGCACAGACAGTGCTTCCATAATCACCCCAAAGTTGGGAGGGGACACTGGGATATAGAGCGACTCCATAATCACCCTATAGATAGAAGGGAACACTGGGATATAGGGTGACTCCATAATCACCCTAAAGATGGGAGGGGACACTGGGATACAGGGTGACTCCATAATCACCTCAAAGATGGGAGAGAACACTGGGATATAGGGTGACTCCATAATCACCTCAAATCCAGGAGGAGACACTGGGATATAGGGTGACTCCATAATCACCTCAAATCCAGGAGGAGACACTGGGATATATGATGACTCCAAAATCACCTCAAAGATGGGAGAGAACACTGGGATATAGGGTGACTCCAAAATCACCCCAAAGCTGGGAGGGGCACTGGGATATAGGATGACTCCATAATCACCCTAAAGATAAGAGGGAACAATGGGATACATGGTGCCTCCACAGTCACCTCAAAGCTGGGAGGGGACACTGGGATACACGGTGTCTCCATAATCATTCCAAAGCCAGGAGAGAATCCTGGGATGTACGGCAACTCCATGATCACCCCAAAACCATGAGGGACACTGGGATATACAGTGACTCCATAATCACCCCAAAGCTGGAAGGAGACACTGGGATATAGGGTGCCTCCGTAATGTCCCCAAAACTTCCCTCTGGCAGGAGCCAGGGAGAGGCCTTTGCTTTGGGAATGCAGATTTGAGACCCCGAGTGGGGTTTACCACGTGAGCTGCCAGGGATGGAGAGGCTCTGCCGGGAGATCCCAGCTGCATCAGGGAAAATTAACTCAGGGAAGTGACTTCCCAGCCCAATCCCATCTTTTTTTTCTCCCCAGTCCCTTTTATTTTGTTGTTCCGAGGGCCTGTCTTATCCCAAATTAACGCAGCTCCTTGGTAGGAGGAAGGATGGGAAGGGGTTAAACACCTGCACCCTTCCCCACCCCATATCCCAAGGCATTTCCTGATGCTGGGCAGGTACCTGTACCCTTTTCACCTTCCCCTGGGCTGCTCCAGGTGTTGCTCCCCGGCTGGGGAACCCGGAGAAGTCACAGCCCAAAAGGGAAAAACTCCCTATTCCAGGGGGAAAAGCAGTTGGCAAATAGCTGCAGGCACAGCCATAACACAGAGCCTCATCTGGGAATGATCAAATCCACTCAAAAATGATAAACCAGCCCAAAAGTGGGGGTTTGGATGCGGGGCTGGGTGTCTGCACCAGGTGAAAACACACCTGTGTCACCCGCTGTCACACCGGGGATGTGTGTCAGGGATAAAGGGGGCTGGTTTTCCATGGAAATTTGATTGCACGGAGGATTCATCACTGAATATATTAATAATAATAATAATAATAATAATAATAATAATAATATACTCCTTTTGGCACAGCCCCCAGCAACCTGCTATCCCACCCCTCTAATCCCAGCACTTGGATGCCTATCCTGCATCACATCCCTATGTGATAATTCCACATATCGGAATTATTTCCCTCCAGGTAATTTAAATCACATTATTTTTTTTTCTTCTTTAAATTATTTCTCCAAAGCCACAAAACGAAGGGGGAAAAGCCTTCCCTGCTCCCTGCAAACCACTGCTGCTGCTTATAGCAGCTTGGTGCTTGCTCCCAGATGGATCCGTGGGGCCGCGGGAAGGACGGGAGCCTTTCCCAGCCCTCCCGCCGACACCTGCGCTCGCTCCCTGCTTCCCAAAAACATGGAAACACCAGGCTACAAAACGTGCTGAGGCACATAAAAATATATTTAAAAAATATCTGCATTGCCTCTTCCCATTTCTAAATCCCCCCGGGATTTAGGGATGGACGGCGCTGCTTTTTCCCCAATAATTCGCGTTATTGCCCGGAGGCTCCAGGCACTGCTGGAAAAGGCCAGGGAATGGCTGAGTTCCCCCTCGGGCATCCCACAGCTGCCCTTTCCGCCCAGACAAGTTCCTGGTTGTTCTTTGACCTTTGGGGTTTGTTCTTTTTTCCCCCTTTCACTTGGTTTCAGGGAGGAGAGGTGACGGAAGCAGCGGGGAAGGATCGGAGCCGGGGTGGCACCGCCGTGTCCTGGGCTGGAGGGGTCGAGAGAGCATCAGCACCAGGATATAAACATCCTCTGGATTTTGGGGGCTCGGTCCAGCCTCCCCAACATCCACAGCTGCTCTTTCCCGCTGTCCCCACGTCGGTGACATTTCCCTCCCAGTAACTTCCCGCTCCCAGAGATGCATTTGGAGGTTTTGCTTGGCAGAGCCTGGGCGAGGATGAGCCAGGCGGGTACTGGGAACACCCACGGCTCCAGCTTTAATTCCCAATTAAATTAAAGGATAAAAATTACATTAATTCAGAATATAGACCAAACTGCCTCACCAGAATCTGGAGAAAACTTTCTCCAACCACTCCTTTACTGACTATTACCGGAAATAACACACCTTCACCTGGAGCATTTGGGAACAGCCCCTCACCGGGACACCGTGTTTGGGCACACAGAGAAGCTCGGCCCTGACTCCCCTGTTTTCCCCCAGCACTGTACACTTTTCCTTTCATCCCCACACTTCTGCTGGGTCTCATTATATCTAAATGCTGTGAAATGCCTGTTCTCATCCCAGAAAGTCACAGCCAAAATCAGCAGGTACCGTCTCCACACCCATCCTGATTCTCGGGCACCGTGGTGTTGGTGCACAGAACCGAAGCCACACGGCTGAGCCACGGTTTTCCAGCTCTCCAGGGAAGGAGATCAGGCTGCTGCTCCTTTTCTAACCGGATTTTTAAAGCCATATTTTGCTCTCAGGGAAAACACCCCAAGCAAGCGAGACATAACACCGGAAAACCGCTCCGGAGAGCGGGATGATGCCAGACCTGCATTCCCAGCCTCCAACCCGGCCAGGGACGACTGAAACAACCAAACGCCACAGCACAAAAAAAATCCCAACCCCACCCCAAGCCCAGGTAAAATAACCCGTCTCCAAGGCCAGGAAAACCAGCAGGGTTCAGCCCCAGTGGGATTCCTGGGCAAACCCAGCAGTGTGAGCTCCGCTCGGGTTTGGTGCCGCTCCCGCTGCCCGACGCCGAGCTGATCCCATCGGATGGATGGATGGATGGGTGGACAGCGGGACAGCTGGTGGTGGGATGGGCAGTACCTGGGTCTCGGAGAGGCTGAGACTGCTGGCCAGCTGCTTCCTCTCGGCGCCCACCACGTAGTGGTTCTTCTCAAAGGCCCGTTCCAGCCGCAGGAGCTGTGATGGGGAGAAGGCCGTGCGGATGCGCTTGGGTTTCCGGGCGAAAGGGCCGTGCAGGAGAAGGCTCTCCTGGGATACCTCGCTCCCTGTGGACACAGAGCACAGTCAGGGTCCTGCACCAGCAGCCCCGGCACCAGATCCCGCTCTGCGGGTGGATGTTGGAGTGACACTCTCACCCTGTGACACGGGGGGACAGATAAGGGGTATTGGGGGGTCCTGGGTGCCTTCCCAACCCCAAAATTGCAGGATTATGTCCCCACAAGCACTGCGGTGTCGTAGCCGTGCTCCCTCCTGGCTGCCCTTGGTGGGGTTGGATGTGGGAGGATGGAGAGGGGAAGGGAAAGGAGAGAGAAAGAAAGAGAGGGAGAAGGGATAGACCAGGAAAGCAGGAGGAAGAGGAAGGAGAGAAGGGAAGGGGGAGGAAGAGAAAAAACTGAGATAGAAAAAGAAATTATGAAATAGGAGAAAGAGATGGAGAAAGAGAAAAACAGAGAAAAACAGAGAAGAAAGAGAGAGAGAGAGAAAGAGAGAAAGAGAGAGAGAAAGAGAGAAAGAGAGAAAGAGAGAAAGAGAGAAAGAGAGAAAGAGAGAAAGAGAGAGAGAGAGAGAAAGAGCGCCAGAGAGAACGAGTAGCAAAGCGAGCAAGATAGAAACGAGACACGAGGACAGCATCGACACGCGCGCCAGACTCGACCTCGCTCCTAGCGACCGCGCGCACAGGACTCCCTAAGCCCGAGAAAGATCGTGAGGGGCGCCATCCAGGCAGAGAGTTACGGGGCCCCGCATGACGGCGAGACTGCCCCGCCCTCCGCCCGGGACCCAACCCCCACCCGGACGAGCCGTCCATCTTGCCCTGTGCCGGCCAGGTGCCGTGCCCTTTGTACCCCTCCAATCCCCGCGCAGCCAGCCGCAACCACTCCAGGCACGATAGTCCGGGCCTTTGTCTCCCCAGCCCTCCGGAAAGTTACACAGCGAACGCAAGAACGGGAAGACAAGAAAATAAATACTTGACTATGAGTCATGTCACTTGCCCTGGTTGTGTTTAGCTCGGGCCGGGGGCTGGGGCTGCGGGGGCAGCGGGGCCGGAGCGGGAGCCCCGCACAACCCCGGCCCGAGCCGCTCCCGGGGCCGGGGGTTCGGGCCGCTGCCCCCCGGGCACCGCCGGGAGCGGCCGCAAATCCCGCCGGAGCCGCCGGAGACGAGCGAGGGGTTGGTGCCGAGCAGATAAAACTAATCCGGGCTCCGGGACCCCCCGGCATCGCGGGGGGACGGTGGGACAGAGAAGGGACAGGGATGGAGAGGAAACGGAAAGGAAAAAAAGAGGGCGGGAAAAAAAAAAAAAAAAGAGAGGAAAAAAGGAAGGGGGAAAAAAGGACGGAGATAGAGAAAGGAAAAGGAAAAGCGAGAGGATAGTAAGAATGGGAGAGAAAGAAAATAGAGATGAAAAAATAGAAACAGCAGGTCAGAAAATTAAGAGCAAGGAGGAAATGAGTTAAGGAAAGAAGAAGGAAAGGAAACAAGAAAGAAGGAAAGAAAAAAGAAAAGAGGAGAGAAGGGAAGAAAAGAAAGAGAAGAATATGAAAAGAAGAAGAGAAAGAAAAAGGAGAAAGGAAAGAGAAGAAAAGAAATAAAGAGAAGAAATGAAAGAAAGAGAAGGAAACGATTAGAGAGAAAATCTACGGAACCAAACAACGTCTCGCTGCGCAGCCGAGATCCGCCGCACCGAAAATCTTTCCCTTCGTTCCCGAGAAGGAGAAAACCAAATTCCCGGCTCGGCTGCGCCGGGAGGCGGCAGCGGCGGTCCCGTTCCCGGGAGCCCCGCGATGCTCGGCCGGGACTCCGCGGGGCTGCTCCGGTCCCTCCTCGCTCTGCCCGGGCACGGCACCGATCCCGGGGCTGCGGGATCGCACCGGCCCGGGGCGCGCAAAGGGATCGGCGCCGGCTGTTTAAAGGCACCGGGTGTCCAAAGGCACCGGGTGTCCAAAGGCACCGGGAGCGCAGAGCCACCGGCCCCGCCGGGGGACCGCGCTCGGCCCCGCCGTGCGAGCGCCCGGGGCACCGCAGCAACAGGTCCTGCCCTCCGGGCCCCCCTCGCCCCCCGGGTTCAGGAGCCCCGCGGCCCCCGCAGCCCCCCGGGGGCACCGCCAGCCCCCGCCCCGCGCCCGCCGGGAGCCCCCGCTCACCTTGGAAGCGGTGGCCGAAGAAGCGGTTCCGCAGCACCCAGGGGTAGAAGTTGAGCGGGTCGCGGTGCTGCGGCCCGAAGAAGGGGTGTGGGTGCGGCAGGGCCGAGCCCCCCAGCTGGGGGGGCCCGACGGGCAGCGCCGGGTGCCCCACGGCCTCGGGGAAGACGAGCTCGGCGCTGCCGTAGAGGGCCCGGCCGGCGGCTCCCTGGAAGCCGGGGGCGAAGGCGGCGGCGTCGGCGGCTGCGGCGGGGCCGGGGTAGGCGAGGGCGGCGGGGCGCGGGGGGTCCTCGGGGCCCAGGGGGGTGTCCTTGCCCACCAGGGACTCGATGGTGAAGCAGCGCTTCGCAGACGGCTGGAACATGGTGTGAGCCGGGAACGGGGCGGGGGGGGGCCGGAGCGGGGCCGGTCCTGCGTGTGTGTGTGTGTGTATGTGTGTGTGTGTGCGTGTGCGTGTGCAAGAAACCTCCCCCTGGGCACGGCACACACACACAGACCCCCGCACACCCACCCCCGCACGCCCGCGCCCGCCCCGCCGCCCACCCGCGGGCGCCCACGCACCCCCGAGCCCCGGGCGGCCGCTACAAATACGGCCCGGACCTGGCGGGGCCCCGGGGAGGGGGCGGCCTCACCTGCGCTCCGGGGACGGGCTGGGAGGGCAGGGCAGGGACGGGCAGGGGAGGCAGGACGGGAAGGGGGAGGCAGGGACGGACAGGGGAGGCAGGGACGGACAGGGGAGGAAGAGGAGGCAGGGACAGGTAGGGGAAGACAAGGGGAGGAAGAGGAGGCAGAGGAGGCAGGGGAGGCCAAGAGAAGGTAGAGGAGGCAGAGGAGGCCAAGGGAAGGTAGGTGAGGAAGAGGAGGCAGGGGAGGCCAAGGGGAGGAAGAGGAGGCAGGGGAGGCCAAGGGGAGGAAGAGGAGGCAGGGGAGGCCAAGGGGAGGAAGAGGAGGTAGGGGAGCCCAAGGGGACTAAGGGGAGGAATGGGAGGAAGAGAAGGCAGGGGCAGGTAGGGGAGGCCAAGGGGAGGCAGAGGAGGCAGGGGCAGGTAGGGGAGGCAGAAAGAGGCAAGGGAGGCAAGAGGAGGCCGGGGGAGGCAGGGGCAGTAGGGACAGGCAGGGGAGGACAAGGGGAGGCAGAGGAGGGAAAGGAGGCAAGAGGAGGCCGGGGGAGGCAGAGGAAGGCAGGAGAGGTAGAGACAGGCAGGGAAGGACGAGGGGAGGACAAGGGGAGGCAGGGGAGGAAGAGGGGAGTCAGTGGCAGGCAGGGGAGGCAGGGGGAGATGGGGGCAGGCAGGGGGAGGAAAGGGAAGCAGGGGGAGATGGGGGGAAATAGGGGCAGGCAGGGGAGGACAAGGGGAGGCAAGAGGAGGCAGAGAGCGCCCGAAAAACTGGACTGGAGCCGCTCCCGCAGGCGCGCCGCGAAGTTGTGGGAGAGGGGCTCCGGCTGCGGGGGGTTTTCCCTTCGTCTTCAAAAAAAAAATAATAATTTAAAAAAAGAAAATTAAAAAAAAAAAAAAAGCTTTTAAAAAAATCCTCCTTTCTTCTTAGTTTTTTCCCCGCTTTTTTTTTTTTTTTTTTTCTCCCCGCTATTTAAATAAATAAAATAAACCTGCCCGCAGCGAAGCGCGGAACTCCGCGGCCCGGGTGTGTGTGGGGAGGGAGGACAGGTGAAGCCCACCCCGCGGCCCCTCCGCCTTCCGCGTAACCCCCCCCCTCCAGAGGCAGGACCTTTCCCGCGGACAAAAGCTCTTCCCACGGGTCCGATCCTGGGAATTCCAAAAAAAAAAAAAAAAATTAAAAAAATTGAAAGCTCCCAGTAAGTGGCGATTTTGGGCTGTTTCTCCCCGGCGCGGGGGGGAATGCGCGGGCGCGCAGCCCCCTGCGCTGGCCGGTCCCGAGTTCACTCCGCAGTTTGGCTCTGCTCGGAGTTTTGTTGGCCCCGCGGAGGCGGGGGCGAGCCCTCCCCTCCCGCACAAAGGGGGTTGAAAGTCTATTTTCCACTTGGCTGGATCGAAATACTCCGCGCGGGATCCTTCCCCCCGCGGAGAGCAGAGCGCTGCTGCTGCGCGGGCTTTGCGCGGACGCGCTCCCGCAAGAGGCTGCGGGGAGGAAGGCTTTGGGGAGGGAGAGGAAAGGAAAAATTCCCTGAAATCCCAGAGAAATGAAAGCCTAAAAATGGAGCGAGAGCGTCGGCAAAGAGCTTTTATTTTTATTTCCGCGCGCGCGAGAGAGAGGAAAAAATAATCGACATTGAAAATATATTATAAATAGATTTTTTCAAATGTATTTCCATTTTTTTTTTTATATTAAAAATGGAAATAAAGAAGCGGAGTTGGGTGAGAGAGCGGGCGGAGAGGGCACCGGGCGCGGAGCGGGGAATACCCGCGGAGGGATGGGATGGGAAAGGGATGGGATGGGAAAGGGAAGGGACGGGAAAGGGATAGGGAAGAAGGGGAAGGGGAAGGAATAGAGATGAGGAAGGGCAAGCGATGGGGATGAGGAAGGGAAAGGGGATGCGGTCACAGCTCGGCTCAGCCACGGGAGCTGTGCCCGGGTCCGGACTTTTGTGGAATTTAATTTAAATCAATTTAATACAATTTAATTCAATTTATTTTTTTCTCTCTCTCTCTCTCTTTTTTTTTTTCTTCCCCCTCGCCCTCTTCTCTGCCCCAGGGCCGGCGGGCGGGGAGAGATGCGGCCCCTCCGCCCCTGCCCTCCCGCAGCCGCCCGTGAGGAGCGGGCACTGCGGGATCCGCGCCCGCGGAGCTCTGCGCTGGGCCGGGATTTCGTTGCGTGCGGATCTCACCCGTCTTCTGCATCTTCTGCTCGGGGGGAAAAATGGAAGAGGCGGCCACGCTCCGGCTGCTTCCCGGAGGGATCCCCGCCGGCAGCATCTCCCCTCCGCGCCCCGTCTCCACAGGAGCATATTTTTTGGGGGGAGGGAGCTGCTTTGGTTTGGGGATAAATCGCCCTCGAGGAAAATTGTAAATCTTTAATCTGATTTTTTTTTTCCTCCCTGTTTGCCCCGGTGGTTTCCAGTCCCAGCTCAGTGTCCAGGCGAGACTCCTCGGTTGCTCCGAAGGGAACCGAGGAGCTGCTGCGCTGAAAGCGGGCGAGAAACCCAAATTTATCTCTAAATTTCTTTTTCCCCTCCGCTTCCAGGCCTGCTCCCGGCTCCAGGATAATTCAAGAAGGATTTTTATCCCCTGCGGGAATAAACACGGACCCCCCGAGCGGGTGTCTTGCTCCGGCTCGAGGTGTCCGTGGTTTATTAAGAGGAAAACTTTATGTATCCCCTGCATTCCCGGGAGGAGGGGAGCCGGGATCCTGCCTTCCCGCTGGATTGCTGGCCGGGAGGAGCTCCGGGTGGAGGAGAAAGACATTTTCTTTTTTAACGAAAGAGCCGCCGAACGAGCGAGCGCAGCGGAGGGACCCGGCAGGGGCCGGGCAGGGGGGGCTGCACCGGGATTAGGGGGTGCTGGAGGGGGAAAAGGGGAAAAGGGTGCCTGCTAAAATACAACCGCGAGGATTTTGCAAGGAGCAAACGAAAGAGGCGGGAAGGAGAGGGAGAGAGGGCCAGGCACCAAAAACTGGACGCGGGTTGGGGGTAGAGGGTCAGTTATGGGGGTGCTTGGGGTGGGCAGAGGGACAGCGGGTCCCTCCCTGTGCCCACATCCACCTGCACGCCCGGGTTGGCCGCCGTTCTCCCGCCTGGGACGCAGATCCCTGCCCGTATCCCGTTGTCCCGGGCAGCGGGAGCAGGCGGGATTCTCCGGGGCCGGATCCCGACGCTGCCGGCAGGTGCTGTGGGTGCCCGGGCTCGTTAATCTGTAACACGCCGGCCTCGGCATCAAAGGGCAGAAATGTGGAAAATCAGGCCCCAAATCAGGCCCCGGGCCCCGGAGCGTGGCCGCGGGCGCAGCTGGTCGGGATGTTAAAAGTTGACCAGACTTCAAAGTGCGGGATCATTTCCTCCTCACCTCTCCCACCTGCCCTTCCCGTGGGCACAGCTCCTTCCCCTGCCCGGGTTTCTTCTCAGCAGCCACCAAGTGCAGCCCTGAAGTGGAGAAGGGAGAAATGGGGCCGTGTTTTTGATTGGGGGGTTAAGGAGGCCCTTGATTTCTCTCTCTTTTTCTGCTTCTTTGGATTTGTTTGTTTGTTTCTTTTTTAAATTTCACTTGGTTCGGGAATATCTTGGACGGGGATAAATTGTCCCTGAACTGGCCCAGTGAGCTCCAGCGGGTTGTTCATCCCACCACTCTCAGTGTCCCTTTTAAGGTGGTTTTGTCAATTGGTCCATTGATAACGGATGAACGGATGGATGGAGGGATAGAGGGATGGATGGATCATGGAATCCCAGAATCAGAATATCCTGAGTTGGAAGGGACCCACAAGGATCACTGAAGGCCAATTTGTGGCCCTGATTCCCAAGAATCCCACCATGTGCCTGATGGATGCACGTGCATGATGGATCAAAGGATGGATGGATGGATGGATGGATGGATGGATGGATGGATGGATGGATGGATGGATGGATGGATGGATGGATGAAGATGACCTGGGAATGGTGGGGATGGTGGTAGAGATGTACATGTGACAGGGATGGATGGCTATGCAGTCTATGGGGTCAGGCTGATGGAGAGAGGATCCCAGCACCGACTCTGGGAATGGGAAGCCACCCAGACCACATGTTTATGGACTGGAAGAGATCATTCCAGCAAGGAAAGATGCTCCTGGATCCTCACCCACCTACACAAGGGTCCCACTGGCTTTCCATGGGGGCTGCATCCACCCACCAAAGCCTTGCTGGAGAGATGACCTGGTGGGATCAGATATGACGGGTCCTGTTGGGTTTGTGACACACTCAGAGGTGGCAGGTCCTGAAGGCCCCTTGGTGTGGTCACAGCTGTGGCTTCGGTGGCAGCAGCCACAGGTCAGGAACAGGGATTTTGGGCTTGCCAAGCAAACAGGGTTTTGGGCCCAGGTCCTCGTAGACACCGAACCCCCAGCTCCTGACGGGATCATCTCCAAGCCTTGAAACATCTCCAGATGATGGTGCAGGTGCTGTAGCCCTGAAAGAACTTTTCCAAAAGCTGTTGCACCTCAGCCATTGGCAGCCCAGGCTGCACCTGGGACAGGTCACTTCTGGTCACTTCTGGTCACTTCTGCTCACTCAGCAAGGTGGTACCACAGGACTGGAATTTTAGGGAAAGGTGTTCCCAATCATGAAGTCAAAGTGATGTGCACAGGTTGGGCACTTGGGGACCTTTCCCCCAGCCTTGGGGACCCCACGCCCCCTGTTTGCCTGTGAGGAGCTGGTTCACCCACTCCAGCTCTGGAACAGGTGGATTTTGGGCAGTGTCAGCATCTCCTGCTCAGGACATGACTTGTCAGAGCAGGGCTGATGCCCCAGGGACCAGCAGGACACGTGGCTCTGTGGGTGACATCACCTGCCCCACAGAGAAGGGACATGGTCCTCCCTGGGGACCTGGTGGGGGGTCCTGGGAGTCCCTGAGCCCTTCCCTGTCCCAAGGGCTGCAATCC